AAACATAAAACCGTTTTTAACTTCCATGTTTCTTCATGACATAGGCGATCATAGACCCCCACAAATTCTTTATTCTTGTCTGTAAATTGGCCTTAATTCTTGGGAATAAATAGGATAGTGCTTTCTCGTTGCCGTCTCCCAGGTTTTGGATTCGCAATTATCCTTCTACTAGGCTAACTATCATCACAGGTTAAAATTCCCAATTTACACCGCTATTTAACCCATAGAAAAGGGAATATAAATATTCATGCCTTTCGTGAGAGTATTAATGCGAAGTGAAAGCAACACTCGCCCGAGACCTTAACTCAGTTCTAATATTAATAATCATTTTGGTTATGAAGTTGAACGTCATGCCCGTGACTACCGGAGCACTAGGAACGGCCCAAAATTAAAAAATCAAACAAGCAAAAAAAAAAAACAAAAAAACATGGAGACCTACTAATTTTGACAGTAATACTGAGGGGTGATCTGGAAAATTAAAGCGACTTGCTGTCACTTGATTCCGATGGATGTATGCTAAAAATCGTTAATGTGGGAATAAAAAAAAAACAAAAAAAAAAAAAAGAGAATATAAAAAAATATGATGACAACTGCACCCATCATTATCACCGTGATTGGAAAATTCTTGAAGAGACTTTGATAAACGTTGTAAGAATGAACACTATCCACACAACTGCATTACCAAAATTTAAAATAATACTGTGGAGGGTGCTGGAGATTTGCTGTCACTCGTTCACTAGGAATGACCTTCAGAAAGTTCTAATGGAAGTTGGATATACAAGGAAGAGTCGAAGCCATCCAGATGACAGCATTACTAAAATCAGCAAGAATACTGAAGTGGGTACTGGAGTAGTGAGGTAACTTACTTTCGCTCCTTCATTATCGATGACCACCAGAAAGTTTTGATCAGACTCACTATTCAAAGATAATGGTCATCACGCCTATCTTTAACAATTACCTCCCGTCGAATAGATTTGTGTTGAACAATGGATGGATGTGGTGTAACGACTCGATAACACCCCCGTCGAGGCGCCATGTCGTGGGATAGATAGAAAAAAAATCGGTTAATGAGTGATAGAATCTTCTGTGCTGCGTCTCTTCGGGACGTAGGCAATCGTGGCTCTCCACAGCATTCTTATCCCTTAGCGTTTTTTTTCCTTTGTTAAAGCTTCCTCACCTTTTTTCGTCATCCATTTACACAAGCTCCATTATAATCATCATCATACTTCGACCACCCTGTGGTTGGTCGGAACTCCAGTAACAGTCCCTTTACACACTGCTAGGTCTTGCATTGCCGTCCCTCGATCCATAATGTCCAACCCTGATTCCCGAACCATGGTGTATGGGGAAAGTCAGCTTTCGCAAGAAGACACCTCCAGAAGGACACCATAGAAGTAAGGATGAGATTATATCCCTGTCCGCTCGATGGCAGTGGCCGACAAAATGCAATCGCTTGTACACTATTTACATTATTCGGACTATTGTCCTCATCTTTGTCGCCGTATTTGTTACAACGTTTCGGTCGTTGTACGCTCCGGCCTTCTTCAGGTGGTTGGAATGTCAAACTGAACCCTTTATTTCGCTCACTGGGGTAGACTGTTCTAGATCCACGTGCCGTATGTCATGGATGTCAGTTATCAGTTATCTCCTATTAATTCCCCTCTCCAAGTTCTCCACTTCCTTAACCCGGTATTGAACTCACTCTCTTTGGGTCCTGTCACTGGATTGAACCAACGACTTTATCCACTGTACCATGTGTCTTTAAGGACACGTGGAATTAGAACGGTCTACCCCAGTGAGCGAAATAAAGGGTTCAGTTCGACATTCCAACCACCTGAAGAAGGCCGGAGAGTACAACGGCCGAAACGTTGTAATAAATATGGCGACAAAGATGAGGACAATAGTCCGAATAATGTAAATAGTGTACATAATACCTCATCTCAGAAATATAGACAGATACTGAAGGGCCAAAACGTTGTAATAGATATGGCAACAAAGATGAGGACAATAGTCCGAATAATGTAAATAGTGTACATAATACCTCATCTCAGAAATATAGACATATACTGAAGGTCCGAAACGTTGTAATAAATATGGCGACAAATATGAGGACAATAGTCCGAATAATGTAAATAGTGTACATAATACCTCATCTCAGAAATATAGACAAATGCAATCGCTTGTGTTTGAGCTTAAGAAAGATTGGTCTCAGTTCTCCGTAAATTGTGTTAAGCATTGCATGTGATCTCTTCGGTAGGCGGCTTGTCTTTCTTTATTTCTCTTGACCACAGTATGGTCTGCAAGGGTTAAGTTTTCAAAGCCTTTCTTCCTCATTGTGTGTCTACTCTTGATTCTGTAGAACTACATTTAGTTTGCCTCCAGTTTTCTCCTCACCTGTGATGAGATTGTTCAGCATTCACTGCCATCTTGAAGAAACGATATGACATAAGAGTTCAGAGCTTTTTTTTTCTCTTTCTAACAAGATGTTCCTGTTTTTTTATTAGTTTGCTTGTTACATAAATAAGGAAAAGACAAATAATTGATTAATCGAGAAGATAGATAGAGAAAATAGATAAGGAAAGATGGTCGATATATAGATAAGAAAAATAGATAGAAATAGATAGAGAAAATAGATAAGGAAAGATGATCGATATATAGATAAGAAAAATAGATAGAAATAGATAAAGAAAATAGAACGATAGATAGATTGATAGATACATAGATAAGAAAGGTGGACCGATCAATAGCAGTTCAGCGTTTTTTTTTTCTTTTTTTCTAAAATAGAAAATAGATTGATATTACGTAACTGTTCAGTACACTTTTCATTGTTTCTGTTGCTTCAAGTCTTTTCATCTGTGAAGAGATTGTCCAGCATTCACTGCCATATAGGAGGAGTGATATTATATAACAATTCAGTACTCTTTTCTTTCTTTCTGTTGCTTCAAGTCTCTTTTCGTCTGTGAGGAGCTTGTCCAGCATTCACTGCCATATAGGAAGACTGATATTACATAACAGTTCAGTACTATTTTCTTTGTTTCTGTTGCTTCAAGTCTATTCTTCATGTGTGAGGAGATTACCCAGCATTCACTGCCATATAGGAGGACTGATATTACATAACAGTTCAGTACTATTTTCTTTGTTTCTCTTGCTTCAAGTCTCTTCTTCATCTCTAAGGAGATTGTCCAGCATTCACTGCCATATAGGAGAACCGATATTACATAACAGTTCAGTACTCTTTTCTTTCTTTTTAGCGAATTTTTCTGTTTCTCAGCACTCTATTTAGCCTCTTTCGCTAGTCCAACGCGTACTTCGGATCTCGGTGTCACATTTTCCATCCTCTGTTAAAACACTTTCCAGATATTTAAACTTCTGTACTCGCTTGATATCAAGCTCAACAATTTGTAATTCGCATCTTAGGGTTTATCTCTTGCTGATGACCATAGTTTCTGTCTTCTTGCAGTCGGTAGTTAGTCCTTTTTTCTCGCTTTCTTTTACAATTATGTCTAGGAGCTCCTGTAGTTTTAAATAGAAAAAAAATTAAACATTTCAAACGGAAATAGAAAGAGAAAACCAACGTGATCAATTTTTAAAAAAAAATCGATCAGTGTCCAGAATTAATTATTTCGATACATAGATATTTTGTAAAGTTTTGTAAGTAATTCTTTCCAGACCAAATTTTAAGCTGCGACAATTGACCTATACACTCAGCGTAGATCTGACTACTTCCTCTGCAGAGGTCTAAAATTCCGCTTCCGAACAGAACCACCTGACAAGTAAAATAAAGGATTATAAACTCAAATATAATCTCTACTTACATCTAAGCTAAATAAATCCTTATAGATTCGAATGTAATAAAAAGACCCCGAGCAATTTAATAATGCCACAAGGATGCAAGAGTTTACTGAATGTGAGTTTTGGTTTGGTTTGGTTTCTTTTACGGCATATCAACCTCAATGGGTTATTTAATGCCGACAACATTTTTAGTATAGATTCGGATGAATAGAATATGTATTGTTTGGTTTAGATTGGTTTGGTTTATTTTGTTTAACGGCATATCAACCTCAATGGGTTATTTAATGCCGACAAGATTTTTAGGATAGATTCGTATGAATAGAATATGTATTCTTTGGTTATTTAATGCCGACAACATTTTCGTTGTTGGTAATATTTTTTTTTTCCAAAAATCTATTTCTGGTAAGAATTTTCCTTCGCTGGTAATATTTTTTCAAAAAGTATATTGCTGGTAATATTTTTTTTACAAAATATTTCTGGTATCAAAACCTATTTTTACACTTTCATAGTGTTTTGACCCGAGATTGGAGGTTAACTATTTGCCCATAGCTGGGACCCTAACAGGTACTACCACCCTAGGTCAGGGTGGGCCTGGGAACATCAGGAATTAAGAGGTGGTTCAACGCTCCTAAAAACCTCCTGATCAGAGGCCTTCCTGTTGGACGTAGTTTATCGTCTTACCCAGCACGCGGATGTTGTTTATCGTCATACCCAGGACGCGGATGTAGTTTATTAACATATCCAGAACGGACTGAAGGTGAAAGAATATGAGGAAAAGAAGACATTATTAAGAAGAGAGAACAAAAGAACAGGAATTAAGAAAACAGAATATCACGACTGATAATGCATTTAAATTTTTTAAGATCAAAGTTAACTAGAAAGCAAGACGCTGAAAGAGTTTCACTAGCGAGAAGTAACTGTTAGCATAGAATGGTTACATCTAGACAATTCAACTGTAAAATTATGAGACTTATCAGCCAATCTAGTATTGCGCTTTATATTCATAAATGCTTGAAGAGGAAAGCTCCTCAGAAAAGCTAGTTCAACAATGGTTGACATTGGATTATTTTCAGCGCGCCAAAATCACTACCGAATATGACACAAGGTCGCGTTTTAAAGTGGGCAATAGCACCGAAAACTTGCCGAAACCCCCTCAGCACTTCCCCTCTTTAGAGACGCCTCAATCGCCGGGTAATGATCTGATACAGTTATCCTTCCCTTGTTCTATATACCTCACTATTTTTTCTCTCTTCTCGTTGTTCTTTCTCTCTCTCTCCTTATCATTTTCTCTCTCTCACATTATAATTCTTTTCCTCACTCTTCTTTTTCTTCTTTTCTTCTTTCTCTCCTTTTTGTTCTTTTCCTCTTTCTCTCCTTTTTGTTCTTTTCTTCTTTCTCTCCTTTTTCTTCTATTCCTTTCTCTCTCCTTTTTGTTCTTTTCTTTACTCTTTCTCTCTCCTTTTTGTTTTTTTTTCTTTACTCTCTCTCTCTCCCTTTTGTTCATTTCTCTCTCTCTCCCTTTTGTTCATTTCCCTCCTCTCCTTTTTGTTATTTTCTTTCTCTCTTCTTTTTGTTCTTTTTCTTTCTTTCTCTCTCTCCTTTTTGTTCTTTTTCTTTCTCTCTCTCTCCTTTTTGTTCTTTTTCTTTCTCTCTCTCTCCTTTTTGTTCTTTTTCTTTCTCTCTCTCTCTTTTTTGTTCTTTTTCTTTCTCTCTCTCTCTCTCCTTTTTGTTCTTTTTCTTTCTCTCTCTCTCTCCTTTTTGTTCTTTTTCTTTCTCTCTCTCCGTTTTCTTCTTTTTTTTTCTTCTTTTTTTTTTCTCTCTCTCCTTTCTGTTCTTTTCCTCTCTCTCTCTCTCTCTATATATATATATATATATATATATATATATATATATACATTTTTTTTTTCTTTCTCTCCTCTCTCTCTCTCTTTTTCCTCTTTTCCTTGTTTTCCTCCTCCTTTTTTTCTTTTGTTTCTCTCTTGTGTTCTCATTTGTTTTCTCTTTCCCGCTCTTTTCATTCCCTCTCTGCCTACGTATCATCCTTTCATTATCGATTTCAATATGTTTTCTATCAAATATAAAATATTTAATATACATGTAAATTTCATTTTCGACTCTTTTTCATACCGACTAATTATCCCTAAACATTACTTCCTCCTTTTCATATCGATTCATACCAATAATCGAACTGTCTGTCCAACCTTAAGTATTTTCTGTCCTTCATACAACAAACATCTTACTCTCGCCTTCAACTAAAATTCCTAGTTTTTATTCCTTGAAATTATTTCCAAATGTTTAGAATGAAATTATGTAAAATGTTTTATTTCTTTCTTTTTTGTTTGTTTTGGTTTTTTACTCAAATAACAACGCTTTAAATACTAATATTAAAATTTAACTTTTTTCAAGAACTTGAGAAATTAGTTTTAATTTTTAATTGACTTAGAGAAATAATAATAATACATGCAAATAAAAAGTAAATATAAAGTCTTTCTTTAAAATAAACAATAATTGATTCTGCTTCGGCCTGCAAACATTTTCGAGTTATTTATGGAAAACATGGCTTTTCATTTCTTTCTTTATTTTATTTTTTTCTCCTTCTTTTCCAAAAAGTTATTCTTATAAAATAATGTCCAGTGAAAACTTTCATAATAAATTTATGTAACATTTTATTTTTCAAGTTTATACATATTGTTACCTGTCGTAGATTTCTTTTTTTACTCTGTCTCTTTAATTTAATATACAAGTTGATTTAAACATACCTTTGGGTGCTGAAAAGGTATTGGTCTCACCCTCTTCTCAAAATCTGAGCATGGGTCCAAATATAATTTTTAAAGAGTACCTTTCTTCGCGGTGCAGAGAGTTTTCGGTAGTCCCAAGCGTGTGCATGTCGAAATTGCAGCATATATATATATATATATATATATATATTAAAGAAAAACAGACCACTTTAAGGTACCATTATAATAATTTATTTCACCAGCTAACAGTCTAAATAGGTCAAGGTCTGGTCACTCCTCCTCCCCCAATACAAAGTATGCTTAAGAGAGAGATATGTAATTAATCCCTCCCTATACTCAAAGTATGATTGAGAGAGATATGAAATTAATCCCTCCCTATACTCTTCCATGTCTCTTTAACTACTCCTTTTACACTCACTGTTAAATTACAAAAACTTACACTACCCATCAATTTTAATTTCATTTTTCGTTTCATTTCATTTTTGGAAGTGCTATCTGATGATCCGGCGTCCTTTAAAAGGGCTCTGTTGAAATAAATTATTATAATGGTACCTTAAAGTGAAGTGGTCTGTTTTTCTTTAAAATATTAGCTCTGGATTTACATTGAGCTCTCAGGATTTCATCCTCCTTGGGATTACCCATACAGATTACCAAGTTCTTCATAACTTATATATATATATATATATATATATATATATATAGTTTAAATGTGTGCTATATTTATGGGATAAAGTGCTCAATATCGGAAATAGAGCGTATGTAAATATAAATATAAAAGTGAACATTGAAGTCAACACTCAGAGGCGACAGTATGTTTCATACTAAACGCAATCGTCAGGCCACCGAATGATTGCGTCTAGCAGGAACCAGCCTGTCGCCTCTGAGTGTTGACTTCAATGGTCACTTATATATATATATATATATATATATATATATATAATGAGAACACTTGGACACGTTGGTCAGGAACATCAACCAGTCTAACAAGATCTTTGTAAAATTTGATAAAACTGCAAATTTTTACAGATTTGATCCAAAGGATTATAAATCTTTGATTCGTAAGGATTTAATGATGAGTTATAAAAAAAAGTTAATATTAACAACTCTAATTGTGTCAACATCATAAATTCTTCAGCTAAACAGATCACTGAGAAGTGGAAAATCAGTTATAGGATGACAAAACTTTCAAGATAACCATCTTTGTTCAGCACTCAACAATATATATATATATATATGTGTGTGTGAATATGATAATAAAGATGAGGATAACAGTTCAAACAATGTAAATAATACAAGTAATCCTAATACCTCATCTCAGAGATATAGACAGATATATAGAGAGACATAGATATAAAGGCCGAAGCGTACAACGGCCGAAATGTGAATATGGCAATGAAGATAACAGTCCGAATAATGTAAATAATACAAGTAATCCTAATACCTCATCTCAGAGATATAGACAGATATAGAGAGAGCCATAGACATAAAGCCTGGAGCGTACAGCCGCTGAAACGCTGTGAATATAGCAATGAAGATGAGGATAACAGTCTGAATAATGTAAATAATGTAAGTAATCATAACACCTCATCTCAGAGATAAAGACAGATATATAGAGAGACATAGATATAAAGGCCGGAGCGTACAACGGCCGAAATGTTGTGAATATGGCGATGAAGATGACAGTCCGAATAATGTAAATAATACAAGTAATCCTAATACCTCATCTCAGAGATATAGACAGATTATATTCAGTCACACATGTGTTAATATCTACATATTGTTTATTATGCATCTGAAATAATTTTCATATTTTCTTGATGAACTTTATTTTTCGTAAAATAAAGAACAGTTTCATTTTATTTAATCAGGCATCTCTTCGATATCTTTTGATTGAGAAAAAATTCCACGAGTTTTGATGGGAAAAAAGTTTTCGAGGAATTCTTGCATCTCGTTTTTATTAGAGTAATTTTTCCCCGTTGAAGCGTTTTGAAGCGACCGCAAAATTAATAATCAGTTGGTGCAAGGTGATGTGAATATGGAGGATGGTTCACACCAGACCGATCAAGTTTTTAAAAAAATCCCTTGCTATTCTTGTTATAGTTTGCCCTTGCGTTGTCACAGAGAACTATTTTTAAAGCTGGATAGCGGCTCGGGTTGAGGAATCGGAGAGCCGAGTTCGAATTCCATTCGAATCCATTACATTCACTTACGTGCTCATACCCTTGGGAAAGGTATGAATCTTCTTCTTCTCCCCCCAGCTATGGTTAAATAGCAGAACAGACCGAGTTCTATAGCCTATGATGACAGAAAGAAATGGCAAACTACTACAGGGTAAAATCTGCTTCGTCAGTCAGCTATCGAAAGATACATGATCACCTCAGCGTTTACCATGCATGTCACATAACTGACTTAGTAGGCAGAGGGTTGAGGAATCCATTCAAATCCATTACATTCACTTACGTGCTAATACCCTTGGAAAAGGTATGAATCCTCTTCTTCTTCTCCCACCCAGCAATGGATGAATAGCAGGACAGACTGGGCAGCTCGGATTGAGGAATCAGAGAGCCGAGTTCAAATTCCAGTCGAATCCATTACATTCACTTACGTGCTAATACCCTTGGGAAAGGTATGAATCCTCTTCTTCTTCCCCCAGGACAGACCGAGTTCTATAGCCTTAGATGGCAGAAAGAAATGGCAACCTACTGCGGAAAAAAATCTGCTTCGTCAGACATGTATCGTGCCTAAACTTGTATCACGCATGGCGCAAAACTGATTGATACTACCCCAAAGCTAGTCTGCTCCAAATATATTCTTAATTGCTGTTTGCTTAGTATTATAATACATTACAATGGTATCCCTAAACCCCAGCCCCCAAAAAATTACTTCTGACTCAACCTTCTTTCTTTCTATGTGTCCTTTCCGGGTGTAAACGATCATGGCTCTCCACCCCCCTTGCAGCTCTCAACAAATTCCTTTCTTCTGCCACCTTCCCGACAGACCACGTTCTGTCACCCACCTGCTTAAGGCCGCTAGGTATGTCATGCGTTGTTTTCCCTTGTCTCTCTTTCATTCTATTCGACCGGTGAGTATCAGATTCTCCAGGCCCTCCTTCCTCATTATGTATCCCAGAAACTTCAGCTGCCTCTTTCTGATGTTAAGTATGAGCCACCTCCTCGTTTGCATCCACTCGATGACGTCATACATATTTAAAAATAGGTACCCCACCAAACAAGACGCGTTTGTGATGACTAGCGCAACATTCAGCTGATTGATAGACGCAAAACATTGACCCACGTGTTGATAGTGTTATCAGCTGTTCAGCATTCTCAATAACAGAAATATGTACCCCTTTTAACGCTGCCGTCAGTCGTATTTCACAGTGGCCTGATAGTGTTTATTTGAACAGAGAGTTTTGAATTCTTCACCCACGTCGTATTTATCATCATCATTCGACCGTAGTCGGAATCATCGAGCCAATGCAGACGATCCTTGTTTTTTTTTTTTTTGCTGTATAGTATGTGCTATACCAGGGCTACATACACATTTTGAATTCAGATAGATAGACATAAAAAGACTGAGATAGATAGGTAAGTAGATATATTTGAAAAGGCTGAGATAGATAGGTATATTTATAGGTATGAAAAGACTGCGATAGATAGGTATATTTATAGGTATGAAAAGACTGAGATAGATAGATTGATATGAAAAGACTGAGATAGATAGATTGATATGAAAAGACTGAGATAGATAGATTGATATGAAAAGACTGAGATAGATAGATTGATATGAAAAGACTGAGATAGATAGATTGATATGAAAAGACTGAGATAGATAGATTGATATGAAAAGACTGAGATAGATTGATATGAAAAGACTGAGATAGATAGATTGATATGAAAAGACTGATAGATTGATAAAAGACTGAGATAGATAGATTGATATGAAAAGACTGAGATAGATAGATTGATATGAAAAAAAGACTGAGATAGATTGATTGATGAAAAAAGACTGAGATAGATTGATATGAAAAGACTGAGATAGATATGTAATTGATTGATGAAAAGACTGAGATAGATAGATTGATATGAAAAGACTGAGATAGATAGATTGATATGAAAAAGACTGAGATAGATAGATTGATATGAAAAGACTGAGATAGATAGATTGATAGATAAGAAATAGACTTAGATGAATGAATAGAAAGACTTAAAGACTTAGATGAATATATGAAAAGACTTAGATAGATATGAAAAGACTTAGATAGATATGAAAAGACTTAGATAGATATGAAAAGACTTAGATAGATATGAAAAGACTTAGATAGATAGATATGAAAAGACTTAGATAGATATGAAAAGACTTAGATAGATAGATAGATAGATATGAAAAGACTGAGATAGGTCATCGAGCCAATGAGCACGATACTTTCTGTAGCTATATAGTATATGCTATACCAGAGTTACATAACTTTTTGAATTCAGATAGAGCTCAAACATGGGGCTGGGGTATAACGAATATCTTCCTGTAATGAGAAACTGGGGAGACGAATTCCAATTCCAGTTGGGTCCACGAGATCCTATCCATTCACGTCGACCGTAGTTGGAATCATCGAGCCAATACGAACGATCCTTTATTTAGCTGTATAGTATGTGCTACACCAGGGCTACATACAGTTTTTGAATTCGGATAGATAGATAGAAACTGTGATAGATATTAAAAGACTGAAATAGATAGATAGATACGACGAGACTGGTATAGATAGATAGATATGAAGAGACTGATATAGACATGAAGAGACTGGTATAGATAGATAGATAGATATGAATAGACTTAGATATAAAGAGACCAAGATAGATAGATATAAAGAGACTTAGATAGATAAATAGATAGATAGATAGATCATCGAGCCACTGCGGACGGTCCTTTCTTTAGCCGTATAGTATTCGCTATTCAGTTACTTTCTCCTAGACCGGCTGCCACCCAAGTCTATAGAACCTAGTCTGTCCTGCTACTTACCCATAGATGGGGGTAGAGGAAGACAATTCATACCTTTCCCAAGTGAATTTAATGTATCCAACTGGAATTCGAACTCGGCTCTCCGATTCCTCAATCCTAGCCGCTATGCATTACCCCCCCCCACCGTATTAATGGCGACTCTTGATCGAGATCAAGTGCCAGCACACCTTCAAATCCTTCATATTTTTTTTATCTTCTCTTTTTTCCCAAACTGTCGGTATTTGGGTTCAAATTATTTCAACACTTTCTCGAGTCTCTCATCTATGCAATTCAATTTTCTAGCATTTTGGGTCAGGGTGCTCGATTTATTATAGGTGCTACTTCCTCATTTTGCAGCTGGGATTTTTGCATTTTTAGTTTTGTTTTGTTTTACGGTATACCAACCTGAATAGGTTATTTAATGCCGACAAGATTTTTACTGCTGGTAATATTTTTTTTCAAAAATGTATTGCTGGTAATATTTTTCTTTTTCAAAAATGTATTGATTGCTGATAATAACTTTTCCAAAAAAGTACTGCCGGTGTTAAAATCTATTTTTATAATTTCATAATGTTTTGACCGTTGTTTTTTGTTTTTTTTTTTTTTGGTGGTGGGGGTTAACTATTTGCCCGTAGCTGGGACCCTGACAGGTGCTACCACCCCGGGTCAGAGTGGACCTGGGAATACCAGTAATTAAAAATTAGCTCCATGCTCCTCAAAACCTCCTAATCAAAAACCTTGCTGTCGGATGTAGTTTATCGTCTTACCCAGCACACGCATTTTCTTTTTTTTTCTTTTTCTTTTCTTTTTTCTTTTCCTTTTTCTTTTCCTTTTCCTTTTATCCTTTTCCTTTTTCTTTTTCTTTTTTCCTTTTCTTTTTATCCTTTTCCTTTTTCTTTTTCTTTTTCTTCTTTTTTTAATTTTTTATCTATTCTTATTTTTTTTAATTTATTTCATCATTGAAAGTTCATACATCTAGGAACTTACACTGGAGATGAAATGACAGCAAATCGGCTAAATGCTGTATCATCGTTCTGTGTGTTGTAGCTGTTTTCAGTAATCCCATCATCTCAACCTATTCTACCTTTTATATTCCATTTTGTCAAGACAATTTCAGACCCATAAATAGAAATTCCATGTAACAGGAAATACATTTCATCTACAAAAGCAAAATGTAGCAGAAAAGAAAAAAATCCTGGTTAATATGATTGAAGGAAAAGTATTTAAATTCAATTTTAACCATAGAACGGTAAAATCTAAAACAGTCACTGCTTGTAAATAAAACATTTGATAAACTATAAATAACCAATGGTGAAAAAAGGAATTAACGATGCCGATATGAGAAAAATGACTTCAAAAAAATTAAATAACCTTTTTGTTAATTAATTCTGTCATATAACTTAGCATAAAAATGCAGGTCCGAAATGAATGAAAAATAAATGAACACAAATCATAAAAATGGTGGTCCGAAATGAATGAAAAATAAATAAATACAAAGACTTTCTAACACCAGATAATAAAACAAAAATGTTTCAAATCAAAAAATATAATTTATTATAAGAAAATACCGGACATTTTTACTTAAATAATTTGTGAATAATTTGCCTTTAAAGAAGAATTAAAACAGTTTATGCTTTCATCATTTTACGCCAGTGGAACAAAAAAATAAAAAAGCAGAATTTCAAAGCCCGCCTATTTTTCTTGGGCAAACTCCAGGCTCATTTTAAAAATTTCTCAGGTCTAATTGTGAGCCTAAAGGCCCATGTCTAGAATCACTGATGTAGATAATCCCGTCATCTCCCTAGGTACGTCGTCTTTCGCTTTCTGTATAGCACAGCTCCTTACCGGGTCATTACACGAGACCTGGGGGTAAGGCAAAGTTGTAAATATATCCATTCTGTTTGCACAGATTCTGATGCTAAGTGCTACTTAACATGTACAGTGTTTATAGTTTCTTTAAATTGATAAGACTCTCCTGGGTAGATGAACACTTCAATCCAACGCAGATTTTTTTTTCAGTTTCTTGTGAAGAAGACCTATCAGGGGTTTTATTCATGTACTTGTTTGTAGCTTTCTTGATCGAGCCCAGTGCTTCAATTATTATCGGCGTTACAGTAGATTTAAGGGGCCACATTAATTTTGAATTTACCTATATTGTCATACTTACTTTTATCCGATATCATTGCTATATCAATGATGATGTATTATCAACATAAGCAGCATTTTATCATCATCATTATTATTATTGCTATGAACTGTAAGATTTCACCAATCGTCCGAATGAAGCCGGCTCACTTTATTTATAATACACACACACACACACGAGATGAAAATCAAAACGGAATCCTACAAGATAACACACACACAACACACACACACATATATATATATAGCCAGACACACGCACACAAACATATATATATATGTACACACACACACCCACACGAGTTGAAAATGAAACCCGAATCCGACAAGATGATAATACCCACACACACACACACACACACATATACATATATATATATATATATATATATCACACAAACATATATACACACACACACACACACACATATATATATATATATATATGTTATTTTTAGTGGGTACACTTATTTAAGTTGGTATCTAAAATTTTCTTTTCATTATTTTCTCAAACAGTGAAATTAATGACACCCTGCCTAGATGTGAGAAGTCTTACCGTTATTATTAATTTCACTGTTTAATAAAATAAGAAAAACCAGGGGTAACGACACAAACACGTGTACCAACTAAAAATTACGTTCATAGAAATAAGAAATAATCTCATAAATATAATCTTATATATATATATATATATATATATATATATATATATATATATATATATATATATATATATATATAATTTTTAAACGGATTTTTAAACCGACTTTTTAAGTAGAAATTTGTTATCTACGCTGTTCGACATTAATTTCAATGTTTCAGAAGGAAAAAAAAAACAAAAAAAAACAGGCCTATCATCTCAAACACTTGTATCTATTACAAATAACGTTTACATTCTGGGTTGGAACATAGACCGCTTATATCATTGAAATAGACAACTGACTTCCGAAGTCGGTTTCATAAGCCGGTCATTATTGGCAATATTTTAATCATAGATTGTATAACGCCCATCTCCTAAGGTGGATGGTTTTACTAGCCGTAAATGCCGAAATTCACAATTTTGGAATTTACCAAGGTTTCCATTTTTACTCCCCCCTTTTATAGATGATCTTAAATCAGAATGTCTGGTACATATTTTTCCAAAAATTATCCCGAAACAGAACAGAACTTGTGAAGAAAGGAACAAACCACACCAGTTAGAGAGGTTCCTCGCCCCTTCCCTTTTAGTAATAATAATGTTATTATTATTATTTTAACTATTACTAATTTAAATGCTTATTATTTTTAATACCACCAGTAATAATAATTATTATTTTAATAATACCGATATTACTACTACTATTACTTAGTAGGCACCTCTACTCTTTTTTTTTTTACGCTAAAAAAGAGAATACATATTCTGATGGAAAAAAAATGCCCCAAACTTGATAAAAACAAAGTTTTTTCAGCAAAATATTTGTTATTATTAAGAGGAAACACCAAAGTATTTTTTTATTATTTTTTATTAATTTTTTAATCCTTTGTAAAGATTTTACTGAAGGGGAAAATGAAAATCAATTTCAATCAATAGAATTTCTTTTTGAAATACGTTACAGTGTATTTTGCTTACTGGAAATAGTAAATTTAATCCTTTAGCTTTCAATAAAAGCTAAAATGAAAGCATCAAGAAATCTTTTTCATTTAAATAAAAATATTTTAAACCTTAACTGTTGCGATTTTTGTTAAGAAACCTTTATTTTTATTATAATAATTTTATAATAACAATAATAATAATTATTATGATTTTATAACAATAGTAATTATTATTATAGAATAATAATAATTATTATTATTATTCTATAATAAGTATTATCATTATTCTATAATAATTATTATTATTATTCTATAACAATAATAATTATTATTATTATTATGACAACAATATTATTATAATTATCACAACAATAATAATAATTATTATCATCAGAATAATAATAATTATTGTTATTATCACAACAACAACTATAATAATAATTATTATCATCATCACATTGACTGCCAACCACGGAATAGAATTCTACTACTACTACTACTACTAATAATAATAATAATAAGAAGAAGAAGGAGAATCATCATTATTATTATTATTACTACTACTACTACTGTTGTTGTTGTTATTATTATTACTACTACTGTTGTTGTTATTATTATTACTACTACTACTACTACTATTATTATTATTATTATTATTATTATTATTATTATTGTTGTTGTTCAGAAGTCCCCAGTTCTTTTTTTTATTTATTCTTTTGTATTTCTGTTAAACTTTGAGACGGAATACTCATGTGAAAGCCTTTTTTTTCCCATTTAAATTCTGTGCGTACACACAAAACAACTACTACAACGATAGTAGTACTAGTGTTTTTATGTATGAGTAGTAATACAACAACAAGAGCCATCATCACCTCCTCCGTCGAAACCTCATAAAAGAAAAAAACAAATGAATTGCAAGTACTGTCGCTGTGTTTTCTTGTTTGTTTTTTTTTTTTTTTTTTTTTTCTTTTTTTTTTTTTTCTTTTTCTTTCCTGGAGTTGAACCATTTTTCTTTTTCCTTCATCGGTCAAGAATTTACCATCAATCTGCTCCACCCCAATTTTTCAATGTTGTTATTTATTTACAAACTTCAATGAGATCTATCCTGACACCGTCTCGTCTACCGACCCGAACCGAACCGACGAATGCTTTTTTTTATTTTTATTTTTTTTTAAGTAAATCAGTTCTAACTATTTTAACGAAATCCTCTTCTTTCCTTCTCCACCTTCAACATCGTTTATTTATTATTTATTATGATTATTGCTATCATTAATTAATTAATTATTAATAGTAACAATAATAATGCATTATTGTTTTTGTTCATTTTTCATAAAAATAAACAATAATTTTTATACACCTTCATCTTAAGGCTTTATTCCTACTGATACTACTACTATCGGTAATATTGCTACTGACACTACTACTACTACT